GCTCGGCTCCTCTGCCCGCCCAGACCCCCACCCCTCCAGGGCGGTAGGGCCTGTGCTGGGCTCCTAGGGTATCCGTACCATCCACCGCCCTTGCCCACCCTGTCAGGAGAGTGGGAGAAGCAGAGCAGGCTGCACCGCTTCTTCTGGCCCGGCTGGGGGGGGTTTTTGAAGTTTTTGAAAAGAAGCGGGTCTGAGCGTGTACTGGGTGTGTGCGGAGTTACAGAGTTTTTTTAAGAGCTTTTATTTTTTTTTTTTCCCTGTAGTTGCTAAGGAGACAAGTAAAATGCTGGGCAGAAATAGGTGCTGTCTCCTCTAGAGCGTGGAGGAGGACTGGAAAGCATCTTCACATAAGAGTAGTCTCCAATTGCTTTGCTTTTCTGGCCCATTTTTTCAGCATGTTTTAAACATTACCAGCACCGTGTGCACTTACCTGTCGTTCCCAGGCCCTTGGCAAAACCCCAGTTGCAATGACACAGTTTAACCTTCTCATGGGTTATGTATTCCCACGGGAGACGGAGGGAGATTGGTTTTTCCCTTACCTTTTGCCCATCTGTGTTCCCTGGCCACGCCTGCTTCAGAACATCAAAGATTCCCCAATTTATTCCAAATGACCAAGACACAATTAATATTTTCTTGCGATCAAACTAATTCTAAACCTCCAAGTGGTTGGTAAAGTACTAAAGGACAAAGCTGCACTCTCCCTAGAGCAGAGTGCTCTGCTGAAGCTGGAGAAAGTGGTGCTTCTGTCCCAAAGCAGCTCTTGTAACCACAGTCAGATATTGAAACTGTGCTGGTCTCGGAGCGTAGCCAGGAGAATGTTGGGTTGTGCCTTGTCCTTGCAGAAGAGCAATGCTGGAAAGTTTTCACTGAGGAGCAGCTCAGAACGGGTTGGCTTATGCTCAGGGTGGCACAGGAGGGCACCAATATTTTGCCTCCTTCAGTTTTACCTTCTGAAATATCAAGCACGCTGAGTAAGAATGCATTTGTATAGGAATAGATCCGCCTTCAACAGCCACCGCGCAATGTTTTCTGCCTGACTTGGATAGCATGGGAATAGCTATTTTCTCTGTGGTATGAAAGGTGCAGTTCAGGATATCAGCTACTTTTTGTGCTCCTGATACAGATGGAAGAGAGTCCGGAAGCAATGATAGCAGCAGGGTTTGGGGGCATAACAGCTTAGAAGTGATTATTTTGTGGGAGGCCAACTGATATAATACCTAGGCTTAGGCTTCATAAGAAAGGGTGCAGCTAAGAATTATCTCAAGGACTAGTTCACGAGTGCTGATTTAGCAGTCAGCTATTGCCGTGGGTGTAGGCGTGAGTTGCTTTCCACCTTTTGTTTCCTGTCCTATTGGACTTTTCTTTGCAACTCAGTCCAGTGACTGATGCACTGAGATGGCTCAGTAATCTGGTATGCTTCCTTCCTGGAAGAAAGAGGAGCACTTTACTTACAAACTTGAGCAATTTCTTGGTGGTACAAATATGAAACATGAGGAAGCATTGACAGAAGGAGAAAAAGAGGCCTCATGTGCTTTAGTGGGATAATGAGCTCTCTGTGAGGGGTCCTTGGCCTGGGAGTGGTGGGGGTGTTGGTGAGAGCCACTGGTGTGTATCCCTGAGGGGATCCTGGGGCGCTCGGAGGGGCGGCCTTTGGGACGGGGGAACTAACTTGGGGAGTTCAGACCCCATGAAGGGGGCCAGCCTGTGAGAAGCTGCCCTGAGGCTGTGAAACACTGCTCTCTGTGTTCTTTCCTCAGTGCTGGGCTGCCCGTGGAAGATCCTGATAAGGCGCGATCAAAAAAGCCTAAAGCAGGTATTGCACAGGACAGAGGTAATTCATATGGCTCATTTTTCGTAGGTTTCATGGACCTTGGAAGCCTCTCTGGCTTCTGTACTTCAGTGTTGTTAGTGAAACTGTAGCTTTTCGAGCCGTTCTTTCTGTGTGGCTGTCGATGTAGCCAGTGGCTCGAGGTTATATCACGGGGCTGAGCCCTGTAGGTGATGTTACCTGGGTTGACTGTGGCAGGGCACACTGCTTTTCCTGCCAGCAGGAGATAGCCCAGGTCTCCCTGGCGGGGAGCCTGTGAGTGTCAGCAGAAAAGAGTATTTCAAACCAAAGCTGTGTGCTCCCTCCTGTCTGTATTCACCATGGCCCTCTGTCAGTTCGAAATACCCGTCTGGCTGATGGCTTTCTTTGGTGCAAATAGAACTCCTAATCCCCTCTCAAGTCATGTTCTTCTATGGCCTCTCTTTGGTTTTTAGATTATACCACCCCTGAGCGTGAAGTTCAGGAAGTTTCTGCTGTGCTGAAGTGGCCGGCCAAGGCAGCCAGTGAACACCAGGAGGCTTCAGCCAGCCATGCTGCTCCCGTCGCAGAACAGGTTAGCAAGGATTTTGCAAGTAGGTGGAGTCTGTGCTAGATGAAAGAGGACGCGGCTCTCCCGAATGCATCCTGAAGTTGGGCCTGTGCAGCAGCAGGTGGTTCTTCTCCATGGGGCGCAGGCAGCTCTCGTGTGTGGATTTGCCTCGCTCGAGTCGGCGTGCTCTACTCCAGCACTCGCCGGTGAAAAAGGAGCAAAACGTTTGTTGTCTGCCAGATACTTTGTGGTTGTGCAAGTTGATAGTTTCAGTGTGTTTGTAAACCATTAGTCTTTTTCTCAAGCTTGTAGTTGAGGAGTCCAAATACCTTAGCAGAAAACCGGCATATTTCCTCTGGATGAAGCTCTTTCTGCTGGGTTTATTATTGACCTGCCCAGGAGAGGATTCCCATAGGACTTTGGCTGTGTAAATACGAGTCACAAACTACTTGACTTCCTAGTTCAGTTCAAAGGTGTGGTGTTATTTTTCTTAGTGCCCCATAGGAGGAGTAAGAAACTGCCACGCTCTAATTATTTGTTCCTGAGGGAGTCAGAAGCTCTTATTTGTACAAAATCTATATTTCAAGGGCTAAACTATGATGCTTTGGAATATATAGGACCTGACTGAGGAGAACTCAGTGATAAACTCGTATTTTAATCACTGCACGTATGAGAGCCTGTATTAAAAAATCAAAGTGTGCTTGTCTGAGATCCTGGTGCAATCGGAACGGGCAAATCATGGTCCCCAAGTCATAATAGAGGTGACTGAATTTCAGGACGTGTATGTTGGCTTGGGTTCACATTCAGGTTGGGCTCATGTTGGTACTTTCTCTGTTTTTATTTAAGACTCAGTCCACTTCTTCTGACCCTTCATCTAAACGACCGGCAGGTTCTGCACTAGAAGTAGAAATGCTACAGATTGGTAAGGCTGACATCAAGTTATTCACATGTTTCTTTCTCACCCTCCCTTGTGCACTACTAGCTCTACCCCTAGGCTCATAGAGGAATTATTCCGGGTGCACTATCTAGGAAGCATCGAGGAATACCTGAGTGTGGCCCCTGTTTTTTTCCTGCATCCTGTCATTGCTTCTGGATTAGGGCCAGGCGTTTATCTTGTCACCTCAGTACAAGGGCTGCCTTGGATGCAGTCCTTCAGTTCTGCTATGTCCACTGTTAGCTTGCCAAAGGAAGTTGTTTTAAACGCCAATTTTAGGTAGTAGATCCTGATAACCCTTTTCAGTTTTGGTTTGGGCTGGCAATACCTTGTGTGCACAACATTCTGTAGCTGCCAGTATGAAAATCTGAAAATGTCCTCAAGTACCACAACACAAATAGTATTATGATGTAAGAGAGGAAATGAACATAACTTATCTTTGGTGAAGTTCTTTGCTGTAAACTGACAAAACTCTTCAGTTGCTTTTAATAGTGACTGAAGGCTTGTGCTCTTCTCCCACAGACCCACTGCCTTGTGGAACCAATGCTTGCTTGACTAAGGAAACACTGTCCCTTTCTCATAAGACAATCCCATGTCTGAGGTAAAAATCCTTTCGTTTTCTTTGACGACTTCTCTGGACCGTTTACTGTCTTTCACTTTCATTCTTGAACTTCCTCTGTGCTGCCTAACATTTGTATTTGTGTCCACACAGCAGTATTTTCCCAGTATATATTCTGGAACTCCTCCAGGCTGCTCTACTAAGGGAGGTCTCCAGGTGTTGGTTTTTTTTCCTCCAGCAAACTTTCAACTTTTTCTTTACATCCAGATGCTTCATAGACACAGGAGATTAAATACAGCTTAAAGGTCTGTGGTAGGAGGCATTGTTGACCTTGAGAAGAGGCTGAGACCAGAATGCTTGTGAAAACATCCTAAATAGTTAATCTGACAGGAAAAGAGCAGTTGTTATTTAAAAAAAAACCCAAAAGCAAAGACCCCACCAACCTTCTCTCAGAAAACCTCCACAAGGTTTGGCACACAGTAGTTTCCTGATTTGATGAAAGGACCAGCCTTTATGTTGCATTTGTCTTGAATTATTATTCAGGGGATGCTGAGGCACTGTTTGTACCCTTACCTCAGGGTCAGGAATAGCTGGAAGAAGGAGGCAATGGGTCCTGATGCGGTTGGATGCCGCTATTTGCCTTCCAGTCTCAAAATTGGATTGGTAGTCTTGTGCGTACGGCAGCTTGGAGGTACCGTGGTGACAAAGTCCAGTTGGAGGCCAGTCACTAGTGGTGAACCCCAGGGATCCGTACTGGGGTCAGCTCTGTTTAATGTCTTCAGTAACGACCTGGACAAGGGGACAGAGCACACCCTCGGCCAGTTCACTGGCACAGGTTGCCTAGAGAAGTTGTGGAGTCTCAACCTTGGAGGTGTTCGAAAACCCAACGGGACACACGGTCCTGGGCAACCTGCTGTGGGCGACCCTGCTTGAGCAGGGCTTTGGGTCAGGTGATCTCTGGAGGGCTCTGCCAGAAAGCAGCAGCTGCACTTTGGTGCCAGCGCAGGAGCTTCTAGAAGAGCTAAGGGCTGGGCAGTGTGAATAACAGAGCTGCATGGTTCTTTAGCCTTCTGTATTGGCTCAGGGCTTGGACTGCCGTGGTGTCACATGTGCCTCCGAGGGCAGTTGTGACATGTGGATCAAACAACAGTGTACGTTAAAGGCAGTTGCTCTGGTTTTCACTTTTACACCTCTGTACTTTCCCATTAGCCAGTTGAAGACAGCAGGGCTCCCTCTGAAGGTCATAGACATCTTGTATCTGTCTCCAGCATCATTGGTGTATGTGCTTTACAGAAGAGTTGGTGGTGGAGCTGGAATCAGGAGATGCATATTTGAATGTTCCTTTGATACTGTTTTCTTTTGCTGTTGGTGTTTTTAGCGCGAGCAGGAAACACCACATCAAACCTGTTCCGGACAACATCTTGACACTGAGGCCGCCCATTAAGGAGCGCCCTGGGCCGGAATCGACACCTTCTGAGGTCAGCAAAATGGGGAGGCTCTTCTGTGCTGCGGAAGAGGTGAGCTGGGTGAGCCAGGTGTCTTCTGAAATGAAACACCTCAACAGTTACAGCAAAGCTGTACGTCCACGCTGAAGAGGCAGTTTGTAGCAGCACAGTGGGTGCAGTTAATGTAGTTGTACGAATGCCTCTGGAAAACCGGCGTGTTGCATTTTATTTGCCTTTGACATTTATCAAGCCTTGGAGCAGAGCAGTACCATGTTGCCAAAAGGCTGAATTTTAAAGCATTTTCATGGAAATGTTGTACTGGGGAAGGACCCTCTAGCTGGTTTCACTTGGCAGTGGAGCTGAACTGCCTTGTCACTGAGTGTGTATTTGTTGCAGAGTTGTTTCACTATTTTGCCCTTAACTAGCCCAATGGTGATCTTTACACAGCAACTGTGAAAGGATGAGGTAGGCAAAACCCCACTCAGTTGCTGACAGTCCTTCCTTACAGGACTTTCTGAGAGGTCTTTCCCTCTCCTTTCCTTCCAGTATCTGCAGCAACTCTTGAAAATTCCTGATAAACCCAGCTTACGTGGGAGAAGAACTTCCCGCGAGGTCATGGGGAAGCAGGCCATGTCAAGGTGTGGAGTGTGATTAAGAAACCCTGGGGACCCGTAGCATCCAGTCATGATGTATATGGCCAGGAGTGCATATTAGCCTGGGTGGCTGTGCCAGAGGTGCAGTCCAGAGCTGAAGGGAAGAGGCCCCCATTTGAGGGAACAGCTGCAGAAGGTGTGTGGAGGTTTTTTTGGTGGGACACAAGTTCCTAGCACAGGGCTAACGCAAAATGGAGCTGTGGGAGTTCCTGCTAAATTAAACTTGAACAATGTGCCAGGATTTTGGGAACAGCCAATGCCTCCCATGCTCTATCCAGATTCCAAACATGGGCTTCGTATGCAGTGGTTCTAATCTGTTTGGTTTTTCCTTCCATTCTGTAGGATGTTCAGCGAGAAGAAAAGGAGAAATACCAGCAGCTCCTGCAACTTGTAAAGGAAAAGTATCCTGGCAGCCGCCCGATTCTACAGCCAACAAGCTTCCGCAAGTAATTACAGGAAAAAGAACCATTCAGTTTTTTGGGGGTAGCTTTGTAGGTGTTGTACATGGAAGTGGAGGGGAATTAATCTTTCCTGCCCTCGGGATTCTGGACAGTGTCCCAGGGCAGGTGTTGCGGCAAAGTAATTTTCAAGAGACCCCTTCAGCTCCCTGCAGTGAAACATGAATATTCTCTGAATGTAAATTCTGTCTTGTCCAGTAAAATGAAGTGGCCTCCTCAGTTTAATCTAGAGAGTTGTGGGATGTGCATGGATTCTCTTTTATTTTTAAAGACAAGCCAAAAAAGCTACTGATTTGCTGGTGAGAAGGTAAAGGAATCCCATTTCAGGGTTGATTTGTCTCTTTTGAAATTCTGAAGAAACAGAAGATGTGACTCCTACATAATATGCCCGAGGTGGAAGTAGCCGAGCTTCTGAAGGTGAACTGCTCCTCAGGGAAATGCCCTTTGCATTTTGTCCCGAAAGCAGCGCAGGAGACAGGCTGTTCCTATTAAGGGATTGAACAGTCTCGTTTTACTCTACATATTTCTATTGTTCTGACTATGGCTTCCACCTCTAGTGTAGACAGTTGTGTACGAATAAACTGTGTCCTTTCTAGAGAATTGGTATGCACTGATGACAAATACCAGACATATAAAACTTATGATTCTTCTCTGGTGTTTTTTGCTGCATCCAAGTGTTCAAGCCTCCTCCCAGGAACCGGTGATGCCTGTGAGTCACCTGGAAATACAAAAATACGGCGGAGATGTCTATCCATGTGCAACACTAAGAACCAGTGAGTGTCCCCATAATACATTTCTGTTCCACTCTGTAGGTAGACTTGGAATCAAAAGAGGGCGTTTCCTTCTGTCTCGAAGGTATAGCCTATGCTAGAAAGATTTGTTCAGTGCCAGTCTGTACTTTATCTGTGTCTATAAGGAAATCTAAATCAGCCAGCGTGTTTAGGCTGGTATAGCTTATGTCAGCTCTTAGAAAGAAATGAGCTGTCTCTGGACAGAAGGGGAGAAGAAAAAGAGGGGGAACCCCCCTGCAAAGCATAGATTGTTGTTGTCTAAAATGGCTTTGTGAGGTTTTTGTGGGAGTGAAAAAGTTTGTTTAAACTTGTACTTGAAAGACGTTACTCCAGTTGACTTCTGATTTTCCTCGTCGTGCTTTTCTGTGCAGATATCAGACATACAGACGTTTGCAGCCCCCGGTGGGCACAGAGGAGTGACACGACCAGGTAGAGTCTCTTTTTACCATGGACCTTGTTTCTTTTGGCCCTGCATGCATGTCTTTCTCACCCTCCAGTAGCGTCCAGAAGAAGACAAATCACAGTGACTGTCCCAGTGCTGTGGCAGAGGAGTAGCTGGCTTGTGGCTTTGGGATTGCTCGCAAGCCAGTTGCATCTCAACCACAACTCCCATGCTGGGGGCTTGCTGTGTGCCAAACTAGATTGTGCTGGTGTGGTGGTTTCTGGGCCCTTTGCTGGGGGCAGGAAGCCAGAGGTGGCCGTATCAGGCTGTCCTGGGATTTGCAGAATGCAGTTTTGCTTGTGAGTGCCTTTCTGCCAAAGCACTAATGAGCTGACATTTCACTTCTTTCCCTTTGAAACCAGGATCCTAAGCATAAAGATTTGGGAGCTCGTAATGCCTGGTGGGACTGAGGCAGGTTTTGTGACTGACGGATTTAGTGACTGTCTGAGGTGGCTGGACTGTGAGCTCAGATGGCTTGGGGTTGTGAGGGCAGCGGGCTTTTGGCTGCAGTAAGTGCAGCTGCAGGGAGAGATTTGTTGTGGCAGTCTGATGCACGTGTCTTTCTGTAGTGACCTGCCCTTAAATGAGAGAGGAGAATGCATAGGTGGGAGCAAAGAGAGAGTCAGCTGTGACAGTCCTGGTTTCTAGCTTGTTCTGTCCCTGTCCTCGTCCCTGCTTTAAACACTAGCGCTAGATTTAGCTGTGCAGCACTGTCCCTGTGCTTAAATTGACAGAGGAAGTGCTGGTTGCTTCCCTGTTTCCCAAATAATGACACTGATAAACAAAAGGAGTCTCTCGCCCATGGGGGTGGCCAACAGTTTGCAAAGCTCCCAGCTCTTCCTTCTATCCCGGTCTTCCTGCTACGGAAGAACGGTGCTGGAAGCTGAGACGATGTTGTCACCTGCTCTTGTGTGCGACTGAGGCTGTCAAGAGAATCGGCCTTCAAGAAGCATTTCTGCTCCAGAAGGTGAATTCTGGAGAATGATGTGAGGCAGCACCAATACACAGCTCACCTCTCTTTCTCTCCTCACAGGTACAACAGCCCAGCGGCCAGCTCCCCCCTACATGGAAGAGCAGTGAAACAAGCTGTTGCAGGGGTAAGCTTGTGCTAGTCATCATTTCATTTTTTAGGAACATACAGGTGTTTGTGATCAGAAATCATTGCACACTTCACTGATGTGTGTTATTGAGTAAGTAATGCATGTATCCCGGCTGTTTTTCCCTGGGAAAGCAGGAGCATTCTCTGATGAGTAGCGCTGTACAAGGGTTTCCCACTGCCATTCGTTTTGTTTCTGGACACTGCACTGTCCTGTTTTTATTCTTCCCCTTTAAGCAAGACTTTCTGCAGTGTCCCCTAGCAAACAACTCTGTGCTTATGTGCTAGCTTCATGTCCTTTTCTCTAATAGGGAGCTGAAACATCAGCAGAGGGCTTCCACGAGTTCCCCCAGGCACCTCTTGTCCTCCACACGCATGAAGAGAAGCCGCCGAGAACCTCAGAGAAGCCCGAACGCCTTTCTCCACTGACAGAGGTACCAGAGCTGACGCTGTCGCTGACCTGGCAAACACTGTCAGGGCCAGTTGCTCTGTCGCTTGGGCTTGATGTACAGGCCTTGTTTCTGTTGAAAGCTGCCCACAGGTCAGTGTGCTCCGGGCTCTGTTTCCCCAGCCCTTCCCCATTTAATTGTTCACTCCAGGCCATGGAGAGAGAGGTCGCTGCGGCGTTTGGCCCAGGGGAGCCAGACGAAATCCTGAGCAGCGCCTTTAAACTCAACATCACGCGTGAGGACATCTGCACCCTGAGGCACCTGCGTTGGCTGAACGATGAGGTAAAATGAGCCGCAGCACAGTGAGATTCTGATTGAGTGTTTCTTTAAAAATGCCCCTTCACTGTGTGCAGAAGTCTTTCCAGAGTTATGTGGTGACCTCCACCGCAGAGCCTAGAAAGGGCTGTGCAGTTCTTGTTTGAGGTACTCAAGGGCCTGGTGTTTCTGGAAGTTCCTCTGCTTCTCGTGTGATGCAGCTTCCAGGAGTTAGTCTGGGTTATTGGAGGGGGTGCAGATGTTTATCAAGCTGCAGAAGTAACCAAGTGCAAATTTCTCAGCAGAAAAGCTCAGAGCTGGGGCTGAAATTCTTTCTGCTATGTACTCAAGGGTGGCCAGCAACGACCTGTTGCTCTGTTTTTCTTTTGCTGAGCCAGTGTCTGATTTTACATCTCAAGTTTACTCTTTGTGCTACAGGTGATCAACTTCTACCTGATGCTTCTCAGTGAAAGAAGCAAGAAGACAGGATACCCAGCCATCCATGTGTTCAGCACGTTTTTCTACACAAAATTAGTTTCTGGGGGTTACCAGATAGTGCGCAGGTGGACTAGAAGTATAGACCTCTTTAAGCAAGACATCGTCCTGGTCCCCGTTCATCTCAGAGCGCACTGGGCCCTCGTGGTGAGTCAAACTGGCTTTTTACTTACAATTGGATAGAGAGAAAAACCGAGCCAGAAAAGCCATTGAGGTTTTGTTGTGCGTGCAGCACAAGGTTGTGCTTTGTCTAACAGTCACCTTTTAACACCAGGCCATAGATATGCGGAAGAAAACCATCAGGTACTTCGACTCATTTGGACAGAACGGGGGTGAGATCTGTGCTACTTTGTTGTAAGTAACTACTCACTCGGTGCTTTGATGTGGTGAATTATGAGAAGGTTTTGGGGGTTTGTCCCAGTGATATGGTTGCAAGTTTTCACCTTTCTTGTAGCTACGGAACACAAATCTTTGATTTGCTTCTGCCAGTGGTGGCTACTTATCTGGTCTCACATCATCCCCTTCACCCAGGGTCTTGGATGCCAGATACCTTCCCACTCAGAAGATTACAGTGAGCCAAGAGCTTTCGAACTCCCCCTTCGCTAAGAGCTTTGACATGGCAGCTCAGCACTGTTGGTGCCCTAGGGTGTGCACACACTTGCCGGCCATCAGCTCCGCAGGCACTTTTACTCTTTCTTGCTTAGCTCCTGTGCCCTCCTCTTGTGCTGAGACCTTTCCCCCCCCAATTTGTCACATTCTTCCTCCCTACTGCAGCGAGCTATGGAACATGCTCCTTCTCCCTTTGTCTCCAGCTCTTCTGTTCTGCAAGAACAGGGCAAGCACAGGAGAGCAGCCCCACAGGGACAAGGCAAGAGTTGTTTTAGCCCAGTGCTCTCCTGAGAGTTAACAGCAGCTGCCTGGGAGAGGGTATGAGAGCAGCTCTGCAGAGAATCCTTGTTTCCTCAAGGGTATTCTTCCAGCAACTGGTGGCCTGGGCACTTCCTCAGCCAGAGCCATCAGCCCAGAAGCTTTTGTGTTAAAGCACACGCTGGAATTAGGGCGTTGTGGTTCCTTGCATGGTTTTTCTGTTCCTCCTCTGATAGCAAGTGGTGTGGGGTTGTTTGACCTCTACAGAGCAACAAGCTCATGCTTTTGTGGAAGTCCCTGTTGGAATTAGTGGTCTCATTCCTGACCATTAGCTCACAGCCTCTCACAGGGTTTGTGAATTTAAGATTTGGATTATTCCTCGAAATGCTTTCAGTCAGCTGCTGTGAGGATCCGCTGACATTTTACTGGCCTGCCACTCATCTTCCTCTGATCCTTCAGCAGCTCCTTTTGCGTTGGCCTAAATGATGGAGCTGAAGAGGGATTTTGTTTTGTTTGGAACAGCCAATACCTGCAAGAAGAACACCGGGAGAAGAGAAGACTGGACCTGCCGCCTTCTGAATGGACTCTGCACAGCATGGAGCCGCATGTACGTGAGCGCTGCTTGGGTTTGAGCTGTGAACTGGAACTCTTTGTCACAAAGTCTTCATGCTTTCTAAGAAGTCCAGGCCTTTAGAGAACGGCCATAAGCATCCTGTGTTCTTGCAGTACCAGCTTAGGCTGCAGGTGGACCAGGAAGCCCTGCTGGGATGAAATCTTTAAGCAGCGCCTCTCCCTGCTGGCCGAATGCTTTCTTTTCCTTAATTAGTCTGCCACATGGAGGTAAAGCTGGCTCTGCCCCTGTTTCACAAGTCAAATTGAAATATCCGTTTAGCTGTTGCCAGAGAGCGTGGGCTTCTGGTTTGGAGCATGACTTCATTAATGGGGTGTATTCCTTGTGTTCGGGAGGGGCAAAGGGGCTGTGCCAGCAGGTTCACGCGTGTCCTGTGAGCGTATTGTTGGTGTGGGCAACGTGTGCTGCTTCCAAATTGCTTTGCTTTGGAGACACAGGGAAATTCTCCATCTTTGCATTCATTAGGAAATCCCCCAGCAGTTTAATGGCAGCGACTGCGGTGTGTTTGTGTGCCAGTACGCGAATCACATCTCGCGAGACCAGCCGCTCACATTCACCCAGGTGAGTGAAGGTTCTGAATAGCTCCAGGCTTTTTTGCACTGCGCCAAGTGTCGGGGAAGTCACACAGCAGTTGTTAATGGTGTCTGGGGCAGGGCCTGAGGTTTTGTACCTCTGTCTGGGTTTGGTGACTGGTTGCTGGGCTTGGAACTTCCCAGCGGCCTCCTCAGCAGGGCAGAGCTGTATTGTCCATCCTTACGTCTGGGGTCTGCCTCCCAGCTGAACCAGTGAGATCCCTCTGGGGCTGTAGCCAGCAGGTCTGTGATATTGGGGCCTCTTGGAGAACTGGGTTTCCCCTTTTGCCCAGGTTAGACACAGGCTTTTTGCCAGTGCGGTGCCGTTTTAGTAAAGTGTGTGTGAGCTGCTATGTAGTTGAGTGACTCTGGTTGTGTTGGGATGGTCATGTCACCCTGTTGGGAGCCACGTGGGTGAACCCCATGTTGGACCCAAACAGCGAGCGTTGACAGTTCTTCAAAGGAGCTTCACGTTAGAGAGTTAATGGGGGGGGTTATGCGTGTTTTGGGCCTCTTTCTGCTGTGACTTCCTATTCCAGGGATTTTTCTTTTCTTTTCAGAGTCATATGCCTTATTTCCGGAGGAAGATGGTATGGGAAAT